CTCAAATTAGCGACGAAGCAGTCCCTGAAAACACAAAGAAAGCGAATAAGTTTGGTTTGGCCGTGTTTAAAGGTAATGGTTTAAGTTTTTAACCCGGAGTTTATCGATAAAACCAATGACCGCGCGTGAAAATGTTGGAACCGTTGCAGGAATGTTTGAATTAAAATCAATTTTTGGTGGTGTATATTATCTCACTGTTTTAGTATATACTAAAACAACTATTCACCTCCACTTCGGTGAATTGTTATTAATTAAGAACTAAACGATTGCCTTAACTGGGGACAAGTTCTGTTGTTTACAGAAAAAAGTTTTGATGTATCACAAAACTACATTTATGTAAGTCCTTTAACTTCTAGTCGCGAGTAAAACCGGTTAGCGACGGAGTAATTTGGTAATATCAACTAAGTTAAAATTTACGTATTTGGGCACGATCCTCGCAGTAAAGAGCACTATTTAAGCAATAGTGAAAATTAGACCTGAAAAAAATTCAGCCCTGTACGGGATTCGAACCACTGAACTCTGCGATACTAGTGCTAGTTTTTTAACTCTTTACGGTGGTCAATTTGCAATTTCAACTTAGTTGATAAAACCGAATTACTTTGTTACCCCCACCGACGCAGGACCACTGGGTCGTAAGCTTAAGAACAGGCGTTATGTCTTTTACGCTTTTCAGTCGAACCGAGGCAGGCGCGGGGAATACTCTGTGAATGCAGTAACAGAGAGAAGAATCATCATTTCCCCAAATTTTTTTGCTGACGGAAGGAAAAGTATCGACGCTTTCGTTGGAGCAAAAATACTTTACTTCGCTTATCAAATGACAATGTGATAAAAGTTTACATGTCGAGTCTGGCTTTGTAACGCAATATTCTCAGCTCAGAGGAATATTTTAACTGTCCTGGCAACTGATTTTAGTCAGTGAGCTGATACATACAGAAAAGAAATATACCAACATTTCAGGTCAGATCACCCCGTTACAAGTAGGATTGAATTTCCTCAAAATGGATGGTTCTGATGTAGTTAAGTTTTCAGACACACCTAGCACTGTGCATTTGTCACTGGACAGTAACAAATGATATGTGAATTTCCTTAGGCAAACATTCAATGCACGAAAAATAACTTGTAAACTTTAAGCCTACGGGCTAAAATTATCTCAGTGCTCACAGTAAGATAGTATAACTCTTTCGGTCTAGCAAGTTTACTGAAGGGCAAACTTGTACTGAAGACCAAAGTCCCACTGGCATCGAATGGATCGCAAAATATTTATCATCGCTTCCTTGGTCTCATTTTTATTATTTTTAAACCAGTCACGATTGATAATCGGGAAGAATCCGTCTCGTCAGACTCAACCAACCGAGCATGGAGAGGTGTACCGCGCAAAGAGTCAAATCGATTCTCTGATTTACAAATTAACACTTGATTTGAACACCTTTAATGAAAAGAAAAATCTGGCTACCGTCATGCAAAAAGACGCTGAGAAATTGGCTCGAATTGCCGAAGATGTAATCGCCCTATTGAAACCAGTGCAGCATCTTTTAGATCAAGTAGTGAAGGGAAATGCTTCAAGTGGAAATCAAAGCTGTTTTCTGAACAGTCGTGGAGGTAAAACAGCTATAAAAATTGCGACAAAAAGTTCTCCTCTGCCGAAACATTACACAATAAGTGTGCAAGGTAAGGCTAAAATTTTATTTCGTAAATCGTATCTGTTTCAAAGTTTTGGAATCGGAGATACAACAGCAAGTTAATCGATCCATGTCCTTTGGTAAAGAATCCTTTTTTCTTTTCAATACCTTGATGTACTTTTCTTCTGTTAACATTTTAAATTACCTCTCTTGAAACTTGCAATCCCAATTTTCAAATTTTTGGGTGAGTATATACCAAAATTCAGTCAAGATGTTTTTAGTCAATTTTCACTGAGTCCGGAGTCAGTTTTCGATTTACAATAGATTCGAGTTCATCGCGATTTTCCTAGTTACAACGGCCGAGTTGCGATTCTTCAATTGAAAAATTAGCATTTTCAAAGTATCGATTTTTTTTCATTTTTCTTCTTTTTCATTTTTTTTTTTTTTCAATGCATTTCTTGCGCAGATAAATAGGTCATTACAAAGAAGTTCTTAGTTTTCATAGGAACCATCCTGAAGAGGAATATAATAGAAATCTTATTCGTTAGCATTGAAAGTTGCCTTTTTTTGAATTGGTCTCCAGTCAACCACCGTGCACTGATCGATCGAGGACTAACTCGTGACAGTGGAGATGACCTACAAATCTATTACCATGCTAACGGACAGCGTCCGGTTCAAATCGACCGCGTTCTTAGTGGTCTGGGCACAAAGTCAGCTACTGTTCACTTTAGACTGCAGACTCGTATGTCAGCAAACACAATCGACGATTCCTCTTACTCCTTTATGCTTGGTGGTGCGGTCAGCAGAAGTACTATGGATGACCCAACCCGTGTGTATGCGTTTTATGATGATTTCTCGAGGCCTGCGCTGAAGAAGGACTGGGTGAAGAACAATTACGGAAAATGGATTGTGCAAAATGGACGGTTGCTTGGAGATACCATGGCGATCAAGGGAAGAGATTATATAGAAGTTGCATTGTATCTCAAGTTAGGATTTGCCTGGAGAGATTTGGAAGTGGAGCTTGACATGATGGAGACTGGGAGTAAAAAAAGTTGTCCTGGACCATTGTTGCGTGTCGCTAATGTTCACCACAGTAAGACCACAGCGTGGTGGTTTGAATACTGTCCGTACAACACTTTTACCTGTACTTTAAGCCCTCAACGCAACAATAAAGATGGCGGCTGGAAATACAACAGCAAACTGTCCAGAGCCTTCGCGCTTAATACTTGGTTTCATTTTAAGTACCAAGTACTTGGTAACCGATTTTCACAATGGCAGGACGGTAAACTCGTACATAACAATGTACAAGTCAGCAGTGACTGGAACATACCAAGAGGAACCTTTGGTCTGGGTTGTCACACGTCTCCAAACAATTGTAAAACAATCTACGACAACATTAAAATCAGATTCCTGGTTGCAAGTCCTCCGCACATCTCTCTCGGAAACTTTGAACCCATTCTTCTCAGTCAAAGTGGTGTCCTGGGTACATAGAAACTTCCCGCTGATTCCTGCAAACAAATTCAGGATGCAAGCGTGGCAAACAACAAACCGCGCGTCAAGAACGGAGTTTACTGGATAAAGACCGATCTGCAAGGAAGCTCTTCAGTGCACACTTACTGTGACATGGCCAATGGTGGCTGGACTCTGGTGGGAAAAATTAGTGGCAATATTGGCAACATCTACAAAACTTGGCTTGTGTCTAACCACAACACCGCAGCACTAAAAACTTCAAAAATCACTAAAAAGAAAGGTTTTTAGCTGCATGGATGCTCGCAGTTTGGCTGTAGAAGCCGCGTCCACGATTCTGTTGTCCAGCAGTGAGAGGAAAGATGGCTTGGGAAGCAAGTGGGTTATGTGGAGGCTGCCGGGAAACAGAGAAGAGGACACATTTTGGAATCACGCTGTTGGTAAATCCGCTGTGCAGGCAGCTGTTGTAACACCTGTACTGGTGCTTGCATGGAATGGAAACAAAAAGGTAGCTAGGGACACCTTTTATTTCCAAATGTTAAATCGTTCTTATTCACAGGAGCCATGGTCTTGAATTAGAGCAACAATGCGTTGCCGTAGACTACACAGAACACACACTAGACGAAGTTTTCTACCGTGGAATTCTCCAAAGAAAACGAAAAATTTCCACTGCGATCAATATTTCGAGAAAATGGAAGATATGATCGCAGTCTCCCTAATATTCTAATTCTGTTAATTAGAGTTATTAATAACTAGTCGGTAACATAATCTGTAAAACTTAACTGTCAAATTGTCCTAGGTTTTATCAAAATGCGTTGGTAAAAGTCACTTGGCGCCCTAAATTGTATCACAACCGATTCATCGTTCTGAACTTTTCAATTTTCTTTCTATCGTCCATAGATCTGCTACCAAAACAAGTTTGGGATAATGCCTTTTTCTCTTCATGGAGGATCATATCCTTACACGTCTTCTGCTGCTGGTGGCGGACGATTGGATGTGAACGAGTACTGTATGGCTGTAGGAGTCAATACCAAGGGTTCTACTGCGAATGGCTGGACAAATAATGGCCATGCCAACGATTGTCCAAGCAGTGATTCTGATTGGCCCAACAAATCGTACAACCATGGTTCCCCTTACCTCACGGTGTGGCTCAAGTAATTTTAGCGACAACCACAGCATAGAACGTCATGATTTTTTTTTTTTGCTTCACTGTGGAATCTGTATGAATCTAGTTTAGGTGTAAGTTATTCGGGTCTTTATATAGAACAGTTTCAATGAAGTGTTTGTAGAGTTTAGTGGTTCATTAAGACTAATCACTTGGCGTTTAGTCAATTAACAGAACAGAACTCCTCCTACAGAAAGAGGTTTTGAATACAACGATGTTAAAGACCAACATGGTTTTTTTTTTCTTGTTATCCTTTTCCTATTCGCCGAACACCTACCGTTGATGTTTAAACCATTGTTGTTCTTGATGTTTATTTTGTATGCTCTTGTATGATGTGAGAGTTTTTCACAAGTAGTTAAGGCGTTCTTGACGAGAGAAGAGTAGGAGTCGCTCGAGGCAGTTGTTGTTCTCGCTATTTTTGTTGTTGTTATTTTCGTTTGTAAACTTTCTTCATAGTTTGAGAGTTTGCTACATGCAACTGAGGCGTTGTTCAAGTTTTTGAAAGCAAAGCAAAACAAAAACTAATAAAATGGTTTTGGGTGAAAACTGTAAGAAGTACAAATCCTTTCTCCCTATCTTACCACCAGAATATATTTCTTAACCAAAATTTCCAAAATCATGGATCACTGGACGAACCGACGAACATCTGTTACACACGACCATGCGTCTCACTTAGCAACATATTTATTTTATCCAGCGGTATTCTAAAAGTAAATACATATGGCAACTACCTTGAAAATAATAACGGATCGTGAGTGTTAAGATATTTAAACACTTAATTTGTTATTTTCCCGACAGTTCAAATTTAAAAGATTGTAAAAAAAAGTATTGAAATATGTACAATTTATCAGGTACAACAAAAGCAGAGTTGACTGAGGCTGTTTTGGAATCGCACTTCTTTACAAGGAAATTTGACGGGCAAACATTGCAGTAATGGTTCAAAAATAAGGATTGTTGAGACAACCAGGTCGTTGCCGTGATGACACTGGAGGCTTATTGACCCTGTCACAACACCCGGGTGATCGTAGTGAAACGCCCAGTGGGTGACCAACTTCTGACAAAAACCATGTGCTTGGTACCTGCATCAGTAGCGCTTTCCAAGCGACATACGTTCAACCGGGGTCACGATAAATTGCTATGCATCTAGTTTATGCTACGAGTCTGTGTAATGATTCAATCTGAAAAGGAAAACACAATTGAAAGAAACAATTACATCTAACTGCGCAAAAAGTTTAAGCGAATGGGAGCACCAGCACCACGTGAATTATCTTCACTGTAGTAAGGTCGCAAAGCGAAATGAATGACAAAACTGAGATTCTTGCGTGACATTAATATACCTGTAGAGTAACGCCTTGCCTCTGTCGTTACCGATGGAAAGATTTCCACTGTTTGGAGAAAAGTCAAATGCGTTTACGTATCTGAGTGAAGTACGTGATGTGGGCCAGTTGGAGAAAACGGAAAGTGAAGGAAGATGAACCTGACAAACAACAAAGAAAGGCACAAAAAAATCATCATTGAAATTTTCCGCTGACAGACCATTCTTTGGTTTCATGCCTCAAAATGTTACCAAGATGTTGCACTATAAACGCAAAGTGCTTCAACACAGGAAGCAGTAAAAAAGAGCATTGTCGCATTCTGTGTCTTAAAATTTCTAGCTAAATTTTCAGTTGATTAATTAACATTTCACGCCTTGTCGCAGATTGAAGATTTCTAGGAATCTTTCTACCTTTTTAAGTCTTAATCTCTTTAATGTGTTTTTTTTACTTGAATTCTATGACACGCGTCTCTATGGTGTTATAAGAAAAAGTAGTTACCATTTTAAACGAATCTTTTCTCACTCTTGAAGATATCGCCAAGATCTCGCTGCGTATATAAAAAAAGCAAACGATTAACATAGCACGTATAAGAAAATAATCGAGTTACTTTGGTGAAAAATTTTAGAAGGCAATGTGTGTTAATTATGGACAGGAAGGTCTGAAGTTCGCCCTTTTTTCGTCCTTTCCTGTCATAAGTAACAAGCATGTTTCCTAATCCTTAGAATTCAGATTATCACTTTACTGCGAACTATGACAACCATAGTAACTGTTAGACTCTCTTCCCAGGAATAGTAGTTCTTGATCAAAGAGGCTGAAATGCTGGAACCTTGCCTTGTAGAATTAAAAGCAACTTTGTTGACGCTTGTTGTAAAATTCATGATGGCCTTTAATGGCTTTGGTTGCGTCTGATGTGAAGACTGATTGTCATAAATGTTTACAACACCACTATCAGATCTGCAATAGAAAAAAGTACTGCTTTAAGTTGGCTTAAGACTTGCAACAATGCTGATCAGCAACCAATTTTTTTAGGCCATGCGCATGTAAAGGGGAAGGACTTGACAAGGCTTATACCCATTCCTCCTTGATATTAATTAGGTGCTACGACCTACTTGCCCTCAAAGCCTCATTTTGGGAGCCAGGCAAGTTCTTTTGGGTTCTTGGTTCCCCAAAGAGGAAGTTAGTTGAAAAGAAAATAGAAAAGAAATCATGTAATATTTGACCTGTGCATAATAGGCACACCCACCCGCAAGCTAAGTACTGTCCATCTCTGGATGCTGCAAGTGCAGTCGAGTTGAGACACCCTTCATCTCTGAACTTATGCACACAGCTGCGAGTGTTCATGTCCCAAATACAAACTTCTCCATCACCTGTGCAAATACACAAGAACAAACCATGAGTTAAGGGATACACACATCATAGAGAGAGAGAGATTTTATTTCCAAGTAAATATCAGGTGGTTATTACTAGGCTGGCTTGCAAATAGCTTGTAACTATACATCATAGTATAGTTACATGCACAGTGATGGAAGCAATAACTACAGTGTGACTACCTCCTGCAGTAAACATGCGAGATCCATTGGCATTAAATGCTACTGACTGCACTGAGCCACTCATCTTCAAGTTTCCAATCCACTGTTTTGTCTAAATGAAAAATGAAACAAAATGTACTGAGCAAACAGTAACTGTGTTACCAATAAAGCTCTAATCAGATATAGACTGACATTTCAGGGTTTTGAGGGGGAATCTGAGGGTTAAGTACAAGCAACCACACAGTGATAACAGGAACTCTTATGACAAATAGATATTTATTTTTGGTAAACTCTGTGATTCGTTATGGAATTTAGCTGATTTAATGAGTTGAGTGTACAGCAGGAGACCAACCTTGCTTGAAAGAAGAATTAGGTAGCCATTGGTACCCAGAAAAATAAGATGTTTCCCATCTGGTGAAACATAAAATTTATCAAAATATCTCTCTTCTCTACCTGCAAAGAACAAATGAAATACATGTATTCACATTAAGACCTACCATATATTATGCAAAATTTACTCTTACAAATTTTGTATACTTATCAAGAAAAATCTCACTTGAATTTGACTTGATTTGTAGGCTCACAGTCTTTTAAAAACGTTAAAGTTTGTGACAAATACTGAAGCTAATACTTGTAAAGGAAAAAAATAACAAAACCTCTAATTTCAGGAATTTTGATCACTTCTCCCTTAATCATGTCATAGACATGAAATGACCTCCGCTGAGAAGCCAAGATAACCTGTTCACCATCTGCACTGAAGTGAGCTGTGTGAATGGGAAACTTTTCAAGAAAGATACTGTGAAGTTTTGGATTTGTCTGTCCATCAATCTGTTGATGACATAAAACACTTTATCATGATATATGAGTGAGAAACACCTGGAACATACATCTTAAGAAAAAAAGTACACAGTCAAGCAAACTAAACAATGTTAAACATGCTTTCTCTTTTTTAAGTTTCATTTGGGAGAGTGACTGGGAGATTTGGATGAGTGAAGGTCTACACTGCTAGCTCCAGTTAAAGGGGGTCCACAGTAAGTACTCTTACGGTGCCTCTGAAACTTCAGGGGAAGAATTAAAATCCATGCATCCAGTAACTTTATGCTTGGAAATTGGAACATCAAAGCTTCTTCCGTTGAGATTAAGAATCTTTCCTGGAAGGGAAAGTTTTGAACATCCTGGCAAAATATTTGTCTACAAGTAACAAGATTAAATGACACAAAAAAAATAAAACAAAGAAAAAAATCGAAATACCTGGAAGAGATCTAGTGTTTTGTTGAAGCCTGCAGTGAGAAGAACTTTGGCACTGGGATGGAATTCGACACACTGTAGAGTTGCCTGTTAAGAGACAGAAGTAGCTTGATATGCTGTACAGAATATGCTGCACTGTAGCATTTAAGGTTTGGTCAAGACAACCCATCAGCATGTTGTAATGGCTAGCTAGTTCTTGTCATAAAAATGTATTTTGCTAATGTTTAATCAGCTCTCTGGATTAGTAAATTTCTTTCAATGGCATTGACCAACAACAAACTCTGATTCTTCTGAAGGTGGTGGAAAGGGGAGCTCTAATACACATAATAATTAATAATTTATTAATTCATAGCGTGCTTTTTAAACATGTAATGATCAAAAGCCCATAATATGAGTAACATATGATGAAACAGGTGTTGTGACATCTGACATTAAGCAAGAATTAAAAGTCATATTAATACATCAACGTACACTGTAATTTGGTTGATTCATATTTCACTTACATTGGATGGTTTTCCAACATTTGCATCTTTGATTCCTTTGATGTCTAGAATACCCTGGGGAAGATTATCTCCTTTCTTAGTGAGAAGATTTCCTGCTCGCTGCAGTATTAAGTCTTCTTCATCATCTTCACTTAAAGAATCTATGATACACATCATAAAACAAGAAAGTTAACAATATCTTTTGGATGATTTTAAAACTCTATTTTCACATAACAAGAACTTTCTCATAATACAGTACCTCTCCTCTTCTTTTTGTCCAGGTCTGCCCAACTTGCATCACCATATATTTTTTGAAACCTATGTTTGAAGTAAAAAAAGATTTTTACCAGATGGTTGTTGAATGTTGAAACCTACAGGTATCGGCAAAAACTTGTAGCTTCATTTACAAATTAAAAAAATTTTTGTGACTTCTGATACTAGTAAGAGTGTGAGGAACAGAAAATTAAGGATATTCGAAAACCTAACTGAACTAGAAAACACAATTAACTAAAAATTCAGCTTACTGTTGTTTCAGCTTTTGAGTATATTTTTTCCCTGTAATGACTGTCTCATCTTCTGTGTCCCGCAACTTTTTCAAACGTGACACTGATGTAATCTCAATTCTGCAAAATAATAAGGAGTGATAAAATAAGATGCTGGTGGTACTGTCTCTTGAACAACATTGACCCAATCTTATTAAAACACCAATGTATTTTAAGCCAAGATTTAAAAGTGACAGGGAAATAACTTTCTGGAGCGAGTACAGCAAACAGGTCCCTTTCTCAATCAGCATGATTAAAATGGCCCAATGGCTTGTTAGTGAAAAGTATAACATTACTCTGAATGTGATTTGCTAAAACATGAAATACATGTAAGTCCTTGTACTAAATGTTAAAGAGAAGATAGGGGCTTTATTCTGAAAGAATGAGCCACATTTTGATGGCTCAGTGGCTTGTTAGCTTGTTGGCACATATATGACATGATGCTTAAAAAACATGGAAGATAAACATGCTGATGGCTTGATGGTTCATCTGCTCCACAGTGGTTACATCCATTTGAATTTGACTAAAGAGCCAACAAACCATGCAATTCATTCAGTGAACCACTTCCAAAAGTGGCCCTTTATCCAGTTATTATTCCTATTTTTTTAAAACTTAGAGACAGAGTACCTCTCTTCATCATCAGCGTCATCCTCCCACACTGGCTTTCGCTCATCACTGATTTCTCTATCATTCTTTTTTGCAGTATGGTGGAATTCATCGTTATCGTCATCGTCGTTGTCACTTTGATCCTTGTCATCCTCATCATCATCATCCTTGTTAATAATTTATAGAAACCGGTAAGTACAGTGTTACTTTAAAAACATGTAACAACTTCAAGCATGTTGGTAAGGCATCCCAACCCGTTTTATAATGAGCAAATGCAAGATACAAATTATTTTTTAACCAAATATCGCGAAGCTATATCATGGCCTAAAAAACAGCAACTAAAAGCAAGCCTATACTGTTAATTTTTACATCTTATACGCTTTAATCAACAATGCCCTTCTAGTGAGAATTTCAAGGTTCATGCAACCTTGAATTTAATGTGTAAACCACATGCTACAATTCACATTAATAGCATCTATCGGCAAGAGTTCCATATAACCCCATACAATATGCGTAGAGTGTTGCATAGAAACCTTTATCTTTAGTCTTGAAATGAAATGGAATGCATAATTAATGTATGGGGTTATATGGAACTCTTTTCGCATCTATCTACAACGAATAATATCTCATTTTCACCTCGTCACTTGAACTAGAAGCGACACGATCTTCGGCCAAGTCCTTCTCAATTTCCATGATCACATGGCCTTCACCTCCAAACACAAGTCTTTCTAGAGTTCTCTCAGCTTCGTCATCTTCGGTTTCAGAAGCCAGGATCTGTTTCTTTACTTTAAAAGGTGTCTCTTCGGGGCCTTTTATCTCAAGGTGGCTTTGACCTTTTCTTTTAAGCATCTTAAATCTATGTTGTTTCTTACAAGAAAGCAGCTGAAAATTATTTTACTCCCGTGGAGTCTAAGTTCAGCGGTTTCTGTCAACACTGTGACTGTAGGTCATATACATGTAATACATGTAATACTACATTTTCTCTGTTCCTCTTCTCTCTCCTCGTTCTTTCTTAAATCCAAAAAATATTAAAACAGGGTACTTTAAAATAAAATTCAGAATTTAAAACCTATTTGAACAGCTACATTCATTTCTTTACCTCCCTGTAGTGTGTTTTCCTATTCGTGCATGTTACATGATGCTGTTGACACGTCGTCTTTTTGTGAACATTTCTAGAACTTGATCAAGGATTGCGGAATGGATTTGGAAGGTTTCGAAGAGCTTGCGAGTTTTTCACACCCTGAGATAGACAACTCAGACGATAAGTTTGAGGATGAGGACATCGAAGAGATTATCTTTTTGGAAGAACTTACAAATCAACAATTTCTGGGGCAAACAGTGTTAAAACAGCGCGGGGAAAACACCTGTCCATTTGACATTCTTCCTGAGGAAATTATTCTCAAAATATTCTCATTCTTTACTCTTGGTGAGTTGTGTGGACATGTGGCCCTAGTTTGTAAGATGTGGCTTCATTATTCCAGATGTCCACTTTTACGACAGAAACTCTCCTTCTGGGATAGAAGCATAGAAAGCTCTCTTGTGGAGATCAGCGACATTATCAAATCCAATTTTCCTCTTCTTAGAGACCTCTGTCTTCAGCCAAAGATGGACTTAACGCTACATGGCTGTAGATTGCTGGCACAATCATGCCCTCATCTGCAGAAACTCTCCTTGTCTTTTTGTAGTCAAGTCAACAAATCCATTATCGATCAATTTGTCACGTTTTGCCCAAAGTTACGTGACCTTAATCTAGCAGGATGTGGCGTGACAGATCAGTGTTTGGATGGCCTGAACAAGGTACCCTTGAGGAGATTAAACGCCTCCCATTGCACTAAGCTTACAGACGATGGACTTAAGTTTCTTTCAACAGAGTGTTATCAACTTTGTCACATAAATTTTGATGGAATTCAGTGGATCACTCATGATGCAATCACAGTGCTGGTGGAAAAGTGCTACAGACGTCTTGAGTATCTCTGGCTTGATGGTGAAAACATGACTGATTGAACTGTTCAACTAATTGGAAAATGTTACCATTTAAAGTAAGTGAACATGTTTATTATATGATTGGAACAAGTAAACATAATAAAAATGACTGTACTGTAAATTTAGGCAATCAAGTCCTTGTCCCAATGCTCAAGCAGACTCTGTATAAGAGGAAGTCATAATACTTGTCATTCTCACAAGCTTGACACTCAACTGTTATTGTAACTCAATTTGTTTCAAATACTTTATTATCTTGGATATTTTCCTTTGTTACCTTAACAATGACTTCGTTATGACTTTGAAACATTGGTTAGCTGTACTTCCACTACTTTATTGTTTTAATTACCCTGTTGTGTGATTGATATTTGAAAGAAGACTCAAATGAAGTTTTTTAGAAGAAGCAGTGGTCTGAAGGAGAGAGTGCCTCGGCTCTGGGTGTGAGACCTGGACAGGTCACTGTATTGTTCCCGATCAAGGCACTTCCTTCTCACTGTGCCTTTCCTTGAATCCCCACTAACACAAACAGGTAGCAGTGCAATGGTAATCTGCAGTGGACTAGCCAATCAATAATAGGGAAGGGAGAGGTTGGCAATGCTTTTAGTCATCTCATGCGATAGCCCAAATAAAGCTGTAATGTCTTGTGGGGGGAAGGGAGAGGTTGGCAATGCTTTTAGTCATCTCATGCTATAGCCCAAATAAAGCTGTAATGTCTTGTGGGGGGAAGGGAGAGGTTGGCAATGCTTTTAGTCATCTCATGCTATAGCCCAAATAAAGCTGTAATGTCTTGTGGGGGGAAGGGAGAGGTTGGCAATGCTGTAATGTCTTGTGAGCCACTTGGCTCAAGTGCAGACTTAATATGAGTTTTTATGTTAAATGACAGTCATTGACTATTTTTGGTGAATTTGCAGATGTTTTGGTTTGTCCTTTTGTACCTCGTTAACTGACCAAGCTCTGGAAGGTGTGCAGAATATGAAAAATCTTGTATCCCTGACATTGAAAAAAGGTACAGAGTTTTCTGCCAAAGCTTTAAAAGAACTTTTTGAACATCTTCATCCACAAAATTCGGGTAGTGCTACTGGCTTACTCCATGTCAGTGTTGCGGAGTGCACAAACCTCAATGATGAAGCTGTAAATGCACTGGCTGACAGGTAATGTACAGCGGATTGTCATAGTAATTGTCAGTGTTAGTGCCAGAGCCACCCTAAAATTCTGAAAATTTAACAGTGACTTTAAATACAAGTAAACTGTATTTTGCACTTGAGATCATTATTCTAACAAAAAATAAGGAACTACAAGCTTGTTCTTTTTTTGATATTAGCCCTTAAAGCTTTAAGGTTTTTTTCAGTCATTAATCATGGGCAGTAATTTCTGTGGTAATTTGCCTTGAACACTGATGTTGTTAAATCCAATTTCTGACACCTCCATCTGATTTGATTGGATGTTAAGTCTATCTGATGTTGAATGATTGTTTTTGATACGGGAAGGGTACATCTGATTTTGGATGTTTTTCATCTATTCATTGAAAGGATAACTTTATTTTACTATTAGACCAAACATAGTCATAATTTGTTTTTTCTTTGCTTGTGATAATATAAAGGTTTGATATTTGGGCAGTTTAATCACAAGAAGTTTTACAAATCATTCCTTTTTATTTATTTTAAACAGCTGTAGAAATCTGCAAAGCATTGACATCTCCTGGTGCTGGGAAGTTACTGATGCTGGCCTTGAGCGTGTGATCAACAGCTGTCACCAAATGCTTGATATGAACATCTGTGGTGCGAAAGACTTTCGTGGAAATCCATTGAAAAAGATACCACAGCAAATGTCTAGATTAAGACGACTTGATGCAACACAGTGCAATCTGGTGCCAGATGAACTATTGGATGAACTTGTGTCAATAATGCCGCAGATGACTGTTATAAATTATTATGGCGAGGAAGTATATCCACTAAAATATATCGATGGGTCCCACATTATTAAGGATGGGACATGGTGTACATAACAACAACATATGACCAACAGCATTTGATTATCAGGTTTCTAAGTTCTCTGAATACCACAATTGAACAGGTAATCATACTGAAGGGGTTTTTGTATATTTGGTTGACTGTTTCTTAAGGCAAATAAATGAGACATAAGATGTTGAATTGATAAACAGGTAATTGAGTTTTCATTAAATGCTGGTTGTGTTCAGTAATCTTTTCTCTCTCCTTGTAGATTGGAACTTATCCATTGCAGGGTTACAATGCCCTCCTCCCCTCCCCCCTAAACATTATTGGTAAGGTTCTCCCTGACAGTTCACCATTTTTACTCTCCTCGGGAGAGATGTAATGTGAGTGTTTTAAGGTGTGTTGCTCAATAACACAACACAATGACTTTCCAGCTCTTAATCCCAGGCCTCTCACTGAGATGGAATGCCATTCCATCTCATTATCCTACATTATCATGAAAAAAGGAAAAAAAAAAAGCTTTACGCATTAAGGGTTAAGGATGAACTACAAGAAGTTTGTGTGACACACTCAATTTTTATTGTCACAAACGTTTAACCACTACGTAACAGCGAAGCACTAAGCTTTCAGAAGTTCACAAATAATTCTGCCATCAGCTCAATCACTTATGCCAGCATGAGTGTTTCTCTTCAGGAAGCCCGTGATCAGGGCTTCACACTCTGGTGAAGCATCCTACCCAACGGAAGGAAAACAAAAAACAAAAAGAAATTGAAGATAACGAGTATTTATCCCTTTTACTCTCACAAACAAAGCTTACAAAGATCCGCTAATGTATCCTCACAATGTCAATTCATTGTCAATCACATTGGCGATAAGAAAACTGAGAGGAACACCAGCATCAGCCAGGGAATTTCGTTCGATTGAACATCAAAATTTTGGAGTCAGTTACACGAAATATATGGCGGACAAGAAGAGGAATATATAGTACGTTATTGAGCATTAAAGCCGAGTTATGGTTAAGTCTAGTGAACGACTACTGCTCGAGCGTATTTCTGCTTCTGTCGCATAGAATATTGTCCCTCCGCCTCCCCAGCAAAGAGGCATCGTGAAAGCTGGGAAGTTTTTAACCCAAAGACACGCAGTCTCGGCTTTAACTATAGCACTCAAGACTGACCTCACAAGACCATTTAATCTCTCAGTCATTGTGATATTCGGATATACAGCGATACAAACCCTCGATGTCCTTTGATTTACTCACATGGCAGCCAACGAGTATCACAACAACAACTTTCCCTAGGCATCACGGGATGCCTACAAACACAACCTTTTCGCACTTCCGGTACAATACACTACAGTCATGATGAAATATATCCTTACTTTGGGATAGCAATGCAAGGAGAAGGATTATAGTCACTGTTTTCGGGAATTGGCAGGTTTGAAGGTGTAAACAGTTAACTTTGTATCACTTACCTTCTCATATGCTTCAAACGGCAGCATCACATCTTCCTGAAAGACGAAAAAAATGTTTCTATAGCGATTCATCTAAATGTTAGTTTACTGGCGGGTTTGGTGTTAAGAAAATAAGTTATGCAAACCAAAGGCTTTCATCGGTTAGTTACGATGAACAGCTTGTAATGAAGCCAACAAAATTGTTAGTTTACTGGCGGGTTTGGTGTTAAGAAAATAAATTATGCAAACCAAAGGCTTTCATCGTTTAGTTACGATGAACAGCTTGTAATGAAACCAACAAAATTTAGAGAGGACTCTCGTTGACAACTATTACGAATGGCCAAAACATCGTTAGGTCGGTATGTTTGAGGTTCAGATGATATTATTGGGGCAATGATGGTCTATTGCCGAAACATCGTTAGGCCGGTATGTTTGAGGTTCATATGAAATTATTGGGGCAATGATGGTCTAATGGCTGACAATAGACGAGGCTGCCAGTTATTTTGAAAGCATTGTAACTCACTTTGCTGCTATGTGGGTTTACTCTGTACTTGTAGCCTGTGAAGTGAAGTAAGAAATATTCAGTAGGAGGCCATCTCTATTGCGGCACATTTGCTTTAATGACATGTGATGATTTAGGCATCATCAACCCTATAACCTCTAACAGTGACTTGTAGCTAACTTTTCAGTCCATTATCACTCCTTAATCAAACATTAAGGTCAAGCGAATGAAGGAAATGATCATCAACTATCAAAAGTAGCTCTTGATTTTTAAACAAATTCTCCTTTCAGCATCTTAGCAGATGTAAGGAGAACGCCGTTTGCAGAATATGCATACCGATGTTAGGGTGCTTAGGGTTTACAAAAAATGAAAAACAGCATTTATCCTTGACTAATTTGGTAAAGAAGCTCCTCTTTTGATGCCTATACATCATCAATGAATTTTTCAAGTTAACAGATCATTACAGATTCATACATTGACGATATATCTCATACCCACGAAGTGATGTCTATATTGGGTTAGCCTTGAGAAACCCAGAAAGACCCACGATATTGTTGTAGATGTTGAAAAAGCAGTAATAACCGCAATGGACAAGCTCTTTTCAATTTATTGTTCATTAATGTGGCTTGGATATTCTCTTGGTACGATGTTCACATGACATTTGTTCATGTGATGCTGATTAGGTGGCCACATTTTGTCATCAGTCGCTGTGTATGTGTTGTAAAAAAAAAAAAACACGAGAAGGCAAGCCTGCTCAATGTTACCCTGATGGCACAGTTTGAATGCCATTATCTCCGCTTCCTCCACTTTCTTTTCCTCTGGAGAGTCACCTGTGAATCAGTAAGCCAGAGGTAGGCAGTACAAGTTGGACATTTACATTACATCAAATGTTTGTAAAAGACTGATAAGCTGAGTTTTTTAAGGGAGCTGCAAAGGATCATCCTTGTTGTGAAGTTAATAATGGTTTCTTTGCAGCGTGGAAACTCAGTTCTTCATATACGGGACTTTGCATCGTTCTAATTTCCTCCTAGCTATGGATATGTATTGATGTCAGTGAAGTATAAAGTGCCGTCAAACTAATGAGGGTCACGTGCATGCAGAAATCTCATTAAAAAAGGAATCTTTTACGTCTGCATTGCAAGCAGATTATATCAATAACCGACATACTGTACAATTAAACAAATAAACTTTTTCGCCAACCTTGTGTATCTAATGAGCCATCAGCAAGCTCTTTCCCAGCCGTATCAACCTCATTGTTAAACCGCATATTTTCCCGAACGTGTTCAGCGAGTTTTTGTGCCGCAGGTGTTAAAAACTTCTTACATTCTGTGTGCCAAAAAAAAAATTACGGAGTAAAAAAATTGAGACTTCCCCTAGTCTTATATTATACGAAGAAAATTGTGCCTTCAAAAGTTAAGTAATTAATGATATGTAATTTTCCACTCGAAACATAAGTTGAAGGAATATATCGGATTTTTGATTTTTTTTTTTAGTGATTTAAAATATTCACAAGGCGAATGTTCAAATAATTCAGGTATAGAGCCCGAGCCTCAAATTTTGAAGGGAATATCAGGTCAAGATCCAGCAGTCTTCCCTGAAAAATATTCGGAGGCTAAATCCGACATGAAGTAAACAGATTTACACTTTCGAAGTAAATAAGATGTAAGATATACCTGATACACACTTAAACCAATTTTCTCTAAGATACATGTCCCTCTGAGAGCTTCCCCTCGCATCAGCGTCTTCAACTGTTTAGTTAGGTCAAGTTGAATATAGAACCAATTGTGATTGAACTGACACATCGACACTCTTGTTCGTTGGTCTGGGGTTGCTTATTGGTCTTTCGCTTTTTGAACGCTATTATAACCCGTGCAAGATCGAGAGGATGTGGAGTCCAGTGCCCCTCGTATGTGTACACCCTTACCACAAGGATTATCATCTGCTTAATGGCGGATAATCATATAATACCTTTTGCCTTTAGGACCAACTTCATCAGTTCATTTTTACAAACTGTGGAAAACAACCAAATAGACGAACAAGAAAAAGAAAACGTAAGACTTTGTTACAGATAATTGAAGTTTTATATGAAATTAGGATTCTTGAAGTCCATCCCTTCTATGACGGTCTGGCAAGCTTTCAGCTTCTTTTGAAAGGAACTGCCCAATAAGAGACCTCGGCACTGGAGCAGAGGCCGGAACAGTTGCCTGCTACACCATGTCTTGTAACAATCTCATATAAACATCATCATGACGATATTTTACTTTTAATCGGTACAAATTTGTAATTTAATTCCCACTACTGCTAAGACAAAATGATACGCTTCATTCCTGAGAAATTTGCCCTTGAGTTCATTTTGAAGATAAATTTACATTTGGAGAGAAACTTCTAGGAGATTTTTTCTTTTTTGGATGCACAAAGTAACCGTTACATGGACTATATTGAATTCAAGGCGACCTTGTTTTGTGACTTAAACAAAAAAGCAGATGTAACTAGGTAGTTTTTGACAGACAGTCCTGTTTTCGTTTTTACCGTGTACTTGTGCGAGTTCCGATAGTTTCTCCTCTTCTTCATCGTTCTCGTCATTTTTAGGTGCTGTAAAAACAAAACTTCCTCAAGAAATGCCAACCGATAAAACGCAATTGTGAGACCAAAGTAATCGTGCATTTATAATAAGGCATCGCGGCTTAAATTTGTTCAAACGTGTCTTAGCCGGTTTTTTAAAAGTTTGGCCGAGTTGCTTTCAAAATTGTGAGAGAGATTATAAGAGATAATATTTAATGTTTCACCTGTCCAAATAGCCTTAGGATAAACCATGAGAGGGCGATCATTTTACCTGGTTCAACCTGTGGCAGTTCGTCTCTCTCGTCTTTATATCTATCCAGATCTGCTTTCCGAAACATGAGCTAAATTAGTTTAGTAAAAGAACAACATGTAGTATGCAACTATCAACTGAATAATTCAGTGAGGATTTCCCTTAAACTTCATGATGAACTGAGTATCCTTTGTTTTATGTCGCTGAACTAAACATGAAAAATATCTGTTCTTTAAACCAGCTGCCTGGTAATTTAAACTCTTAGGATGTTTCGGGTCGCTAGCAAACATCATTTTACTCGGCAAGTTTCAGTTCTGAGACAAACTTCTTGATTCCAAGACTGGCTTTGTTTCAGTTTTTTTTTTGACGGGACTTGTCATGGTGAAAATTTACTGGTGTAGAAGACGTCTAATGTGATTTGAGAAGAGAAAATCTTCCCTGACACGATTGTCCATTTTCTCACTAACTTTTTGCCCTCTAAGCTACAAGATCGTGACAAGAATTTACACCTTCATACCTGCTGGAGCAGATTGAACTTTAAGATTAACTGTCAACAGGACTACGGCAACGATGGCTGCCCTCATGATAAACATCGGACAAATCCTGAGTCGGGATGAAATATTTTAGTTAAAAATAAACCTAGTCCTCAGCTAAAAAGTCTACATCCAGTGTGGGTGGGTAGGTCAGTAAGTCGAAAAGCTAGAATACACATTCGTTTTACATGTATAGTAAGTTCAAGTGAAAAAAATGGGTCTTTGTCCGATGGTTGCGTTGTTTTGAGTAAAGGAAGTGTCACAATCGACTGAAATTTTTGAACCGAAAATTTGAAGTAATAGCCATTTGTTTTACTCGGTATGGTCACCCACTCTGGATTTCATTAGTCTTAAATTTCTTTCCTATACTGACCTTTGAAATAGTAGTAAAGGAGAGAGGGGTTCCTTCTTCACTCGATCGATGTGTAATGGTATAACTCCTCCTTAAGGTGTTTTCACGGATAAAAATCGACTTGGGGAGGAAAGGGGAGTCGAAACAATAGCAAAAAAAATTTATTTTTATAATTCTTTCATCGGTTAGCTATCGTGGTGGAGGTCTTTTTCAAAATAACTTGACACTATGGCAGGTGTATCGTTGAATAGAAATCTGTGAGGGAGGTTTCAATCTCATCAATTTTAGTGTAGGACTAAACTCTTTGGAAACCTCACGTAGTATACAGTAGTTGCATGCAGTTATTTTTCTCCGGACTTAAAACAGACAGCGTGTTACTCTGTGCGAACGATAATTTCATTTACGGCTAATAAAAATACTGAATGAATACCAAAAACCTTGACAGGGTTGTTTGCAATTGTGAGATTAATTTTCTATGCCATGGGAATAAACCAATGCTAAAGCATTTATTGCTGGCTGGCAGATGGCTGTTGTGGAAAAAGAAAGATTAGGTACTTAACATGATATCAGTTCAATCCTCTGCTCTCTCAACTCAAGGATGATAGAAAACAGAGATATTAATTGAATGGGAAGAACGAAAAAAAGTCACCCTAAATGTTTTAGAAATGGTTTTACAACCAAATATTCCATCACTAAGGTTATGATGACAATTTCTACATTGAGTTCATACATTACCTGACCTTAGAAAAAGGCAGCGTATCTGCCTCTTCTCCAGCAATCATGAGGGATTTTCCCAGAAAAAAAAAAACAAACAAAACCAAACAAAACAAAACAAATCAGCATGATATTGATGAATTGCACTGTATAATATCTTTTTATCCAGGCTGAATTGAATGATAGTCTGCTGGAGAGAGAATATAGGCAATGAAAAGCTCATCGGACCTCATTAAGGATATTTGAGTCCATATTTGGCCACATATCAGCGAGGGGAGCTGGTTTTTTTACCGCAGACTTTTCAAAGCTATCGTCAAAATAAGGGGATCGCTCTTCGGCCTTTATTCTTGAAAACCAAAAAAAGATATCGAGCAAAACCGCGCCATAGAACGAGTTACCCTCCAACAGCGAGGAGTTTCAATGTTTGTCTCAATTCTATGATTAACAATAAATAAGCACTTTTAATGTGAAAGTGAGTTTTTGATCACTTGTAAGCGCACAAAGGACGAGGATGGCGAAGAATACATTAGATTCTTGTGAGCAACGAAATTTTTTTAAAGCAAAGTTTTCAGACATGCAAATCTCTGACTCTGTTTGAGTGACTTGATTTGTTGGCTTTTCATTTTTGGCAGATTTAGAACTTGTTTGTATGGCTGATCTGACTCACTTAGTAGGATTAATGCAGTAAATCAGACTACACCTTCACTTAGTAGGATTAATGCAGCAAATCAGACTACACCTTCACTTAGTAGGATTAACAAGTTGTTAGTTGTAAAAATGGGGGCACTTAACGAGAGGGGCTGTTCGTTATCATGACGTCACAGAAACGAAAAGTACATATGCTATATCGTGGTCAAGAGACGAGAATATAAAGTTCACGAGGAGCTTTATTTTTGCTTTTGACAACATGCTACACTTAAGATTTATGTGTACCACACTAGTTCATTGGTTACAGCAATTCAGCCATTACGTTTGTTCCAGTATTTCCTTCCATTGTTTCAGCGTTTATAACCTGTAGATGAAGAAAAAATACAAGTAATTTTCATTTTCCGCCCTCAAAAATCACATCATACATTTTATTTGTTGAATTAAAGGAAACCTCTTTAAATTACGAGAGGTTCCAGTTATCGGGAGAGTCGATTTTAGCATGCAACTATTGGTTGAGAAATAGGTGATTTCAAATCGACCAATCTATTTATTTTGCATCTTTATTAATTTTTCGTGCTTGCCAAAAACTAATGTACACAACTCACAGTCCAGAACGCCCTGATACATAGAATGTCAAATACCGAGTGAGTTAAAGGAAATTAATAAATGTAATCTCATTTACTTGCCGATCTCTTGTGTCTTGCAAGTAGTCCTCCAGCTAAATTGTGGTCGCGAACTTAAAAATAAAGTTACGAGTATGAGTTTTTGAGATTATTTGAAAATTACATACAAGATTTAAGGAAACTCCTGAACTCAATATCATGGTTATCATAAAAGCTCCATACACACCTTTCTTGAATGTATCCTCAAGAGCTATAATGAGATATCGACAGATGCAAAATCAGCAATAAAAAAGTGATCCTTTTTTTTTCTTAGAGCCGATCAAAAATCATTCAACTATTACTTCTGATATTTTTTTATGCCGTGTCACTTTGAACATTGTTTTATGATTAAAAACTAACTTTAAGGTCTGTGCAAGAGCTCCATTGACCCACCGAGGAACGGTTATCCAACTCATTAAGGACTGAATTTGCAGTAAGCGCGAAGCAGACGAACTTAGTATGACTGAAGGCATCAGGAAAATCCACGAAGACCATATTCTGATTGATTTAACGCCAATCAGAAGAGAGTAAGGACTCCTTAGTCATGAACGAAATTAATCCAGGAGAAACGAACTAGTATAAAAGGATAGTTTACCTACGTATCTTAAGCAGGTTAGTAAACTCAAAGGCAC